TTTACATCTGATATATAATTTTACTTATACATATTACTTTATAATACATTTTAATTTTTAATTTTATTTAATTTTAAAGAAGTAGTTATTCCTACGATATTAGTGCAGTAAGATTGCAAGACTGATTGGTAAGAACTTATTTTTGCCCAGGCTCAGTAGTTTTTGCCGATTTCAGTCTTAAAATATTCTTATTTCATTCATATTTTTACACATTTTTGAAACATACAAAATTATTATTTTACAGCAGTATATTACTGTATTATAGGGTATTACCATAAAACTTATTCCTCCATTGTATTCCATTGTCATTTTATTCCTCCGTGGTCACACTTACTGTAAATACGGATAAGATTTGATGGTTTTTCTATTAAACAAAAAATAAAAACCTCATTTGACATTTTACCTCAGCCTCAATTTGTTATTATTTTATTCTTAATTTTTAAGTAATTTCAGCCTCAGAAAATTCTTATTAAAAAAAGGTGTAATATTCAAAGCTTAATGGCTTACTGTATTATGCAGTTTATATTGTTTTTTATGTTTGTATAGGAGAGATGTTTTGCCCTACCTGACGTGTAATCGTACTGAATACTCAGTACGTCCCCAAATACTAGTAGTTTTTTTTTTTCGCTAGTATTTGGGGACGTACTGAGTATTCAGTACGATTACACGTCAGGTAGGGCAAAACATCTCTCCCATGATAACTTCCTGACGCAAACCCATATCCGAATATGTTTGTATAGTTATTATAATCCATGTCTTCAATAGCTTTATAACATACTTTAGTGATAATAATGATGATGATAATAATAATAATAGTAATAATGATAATAATAACATTAATAATAATATTAATAATAATAATAATAATAATAACTATAAAGAGTAAATGTAATAACCTTGTTTATTCTGTAGGGATAATAATTTAATGATAATAATAACAATAATACGAATAATAAATAATTAATAACTATAAAGATCAAATGTAATAACCTTGTTTATTCGGCATGGATAATAATTTAATGATAATAATAACAATAATAAGAATAATAAAAATTTAATAACTTTAAAGAGCATAAGCCTATGTAATAACCTTTTATATTCTATATGGATAGCATTATTAAATAAGTTGAAATGGATAATCAAAAGTATTTTAGTTTTTAAAAAGAACAATTACGTAGAAATTAGAGCTTAGTACGTTTTTTACTTTGTACGGTAATTAATTTCTTATATTATTTAGGTACTTTGCTGCCTACATTTGTATAAATATTTTCCATGTAAATATTGTTGTTGATTGTGCAATTGATTAAATAAAGATTTAATATAAAAGAATGATAAATCTTGAGGTATTCCTTGTATTTAAATTCTTTTTTTTTTTAAATTTGATGTAAAGGGAGGGTGGGGAGGGGGAGTCCGGGGGAAATTATCCTGGGGAAATACCGGGGGCAACCAGCCTGCTTCCATCGTTGTGTTCAATTAAAACACTCTCGTTTAAATTCAGATAATTTTTGGAGTTTATAAGTTGTTGTTCTTTAAATCGTAATTCAACGTTATATTCCCTGAAATGTTTGTGTAATACTATTGTCAGTTTATGCAGTACGGTAAAGAGTATACTCGCTTGAAATCTCATACTTCTTTGTGGAAACTTACGGACGTTGTAGTTCTTGTTCCACTCAGATAAAGTTTTGATTTTATCGATTGCTTGTTTAATTCTTTTAACGTTATGCTTCATCTGCAAGATAAAGTTTTTAGCTTGTAAATATTTTTAAATATTATATTAAATATAATCAAACTATATAAATATTTATAGTTATACCTGGAAAAGCGTAATATCATTACGGACGTTGTAGTTCTTGTTCACGTTCCATTCACATAAATTTTTGATTTTATCAATTGCTTGTTTAATTCATTTAACGTTACGCTTCATCCGCAGTGTTTTAGCTTGTGAATATTTTTAAGATTATATATTAATATATTTATTAGTTAGTTATGTAATCGTTAATAAAAAAATAGATTAA